CTCAGGCCTGGTCTTTCCTCTACCACAAAAACTCCTCTTTTTAGGGAATGTGAACGTCTTTCTACTTTTCAACTTCTACTTTTCAAACTCCCATTTTCTTAATCTAAGTTGTTCCCACAATGAGGAGATAGAGGGTTTTCCCAGGTTGATTTTTGTATCCTTTTAGACTGGCAGGCTTTCTCCTACTGGATGATTCACCTTTGGGGCAAATTCAGTTTCCTAGGCCATACAGTCAATTCAGTATCAAAATAAATGTGCAGGATCTCAGTTCTTTATTACAAAAAAGTGCCCTTGCTCAGTCATAATCAGTGGTTCTTAATGGACATGGTAGTGGCCTCTGGGGCAATTTGGAAATTTATACGAAAATTTTTTGGAGGTCAAGACAATTGGGAGGAGCTGTTGGCATTTATTGGGAGAAAGCTGGGGAGGTGGACATCCTTCAGTTTGCAGGGTGTTACAGCATGAAGAATTGTTCTGCACTGTACATGGTTTTCAAATGTTTCACTGGCTATTCATGTAGTTGAAAAACTTGTTTATGATTATGGGCTTAGAATTTACATTTGTTTAACAAAGTATTCTGGCATGATTTTTTAATATAACAGAATCTTCCAGGAGTCAGGTGCCATGTAAATTGAAGGAATTTTGTGCTTTGTGTTGTTCAGAATATTACCAAGAATGGATTACTATATGAGAAATATCTCATCACTGGCCTCACTGCTCACAGTTCTTGAGTCACTGATAAGCACACCTGCAACTGGCCTGTATTTGTAGATGTAGAATTCCTGGCGATCCGACGCAGAGGACCCATGCAGGTGTTCTTGAGCACTTTAAATACTGATATGCATATTATTCTTATTATGGGTTATTTTTTTCCTTCATATGTTAACTAGGGAAATACAATAATTTAGCAATCTTGTAAGTAGGTGAATTATGTTATCTCTAGAATTTAAGGAGAGTTAAAAGCACGATGTAATATTTGTTAAAACAGTATGTTTTTAGATGATCAAGGGTCAGCTTAAATAAAAATGAAGTTAATTCTTTTTCATTACATTAGAGATTAATTTCACTATAACCTGAACCCTACTTACAGCTAGCTGTTTTATCCTTACACAGGGTAGAAAGTGCCTTTTACTTCTCTTATGTAATGTTTCTTCCACAAATACTGTTTGTTAGTGATGTTATTCATTGTGAAATAACCAAAAGGTAGTAGACAGGAGATCTTCCAATTAAAATACTACACTGAATATTCTTTATCTCTCAATTGTTTAAAAAATGAACTATAGCAAATTTCAAGGAGGTAGAGATAGCACAAATGGTCAAAAAGGTTAGAAACTTTAAGCATAAAGGATGAGACTATAAATCATATGAAGATCAAATTGCTAAAATGTGTCATGTTTTCCCAAAAGACTGTGTCTTTTATGCATAGAAACACATTACACATACACAACACATTACAGTGTCTTGTAATGGAACTGAGAAAGAAGGAGGCTACATTTATGGATCAGCATTTAGAAATTAAACAAGAAATGGCTGGAAATAGCACTGACAGTAGAATGCTCAAAGAATAGCATGAGAGAAGAAAACATTGCTGTCTTTTGCTTTGTCTATGCCCCTTACTTCTTCCTATGATGACTTTAATTCAAGTGTTTCTTGAAAATCTGCCTTGTCCATACTCCTCTTCACTTGATCTTAGTGCTTAGAACTTTTTTTTTTGGCAAAAACTAAAACTAGCAAAAACTAGCATATTGCCAAAATATGCTACTGAGTTAGCAACCAAAATCCTGATGTTTACTTTGGTAGATGTAGTCTACTCTGAAGCTGTACCTCATTTTATGCAGTAGATGTCTTAAAAAGTTATATGTAAATATAATTTCTGTAAATAGAATGTTTTTAAAGGAAGAAACAGGTTATCTACTTCTTCAGTGAATCTTTTAATAAAGTGAAGAATTCTCTGGGAAAGCAAATAATCAGTCTTCAAGTGACATCACACATATGCACACATGTGCACGCACACACACACACAACCAGATTCTCCAGAGGTGAGGTTCACTACTATAATATGATGGGCAGTATAAGTAAGGTCTCACTGAAAAGATAATTTAGAAGAATTTCTTGGCCAGCCATTCACTCTTCTACTTATGGTTAGCCACCTTATTTTACAGGGTCTGAAACCAAAAGGTCATGGAATAATTTCAACAATTTATGTATAATTTACATTTTAGGGTCTGGTTTACAATAGGGAATATCACTGTTCACAAAGTCACCTTTGAATATGAAATATCATTTTTAATAGCTTTATTTCAGAAGGAAAAACTACTGTTTCCCTACCCTCTCCCTGACATCCCCCTCCCCTGCAAAAGAATTTTTTAAAGAAAAAGATAATAAATAAATTTTATATGCTTCTTACAATAAAGGGGGAAAGGCTAAAAACCTAGAAAGATATGAAACGCATTAACAGGATAACGTATCTATGATACTTTCAAACTGACAAGGCTTGATTTTAAAAACTGATCTTTAACAAGAAAAAGAAATATGAGCAATTAGGAAGTAATGAAGACCCTGTCAATATAGCTATGTTGATAATAACAGGTAAGGGAATTCTTGAGAAAATCTAATATATAAAAATCAGGAGGTCTGTAATATGCATTATTGAGTCCCAGTGGGATTAACTAATGAATTTATGAGCTCACTAGTGGTTATTTTTAGAAAGCTATAAAGAATTAGAGAAGTACTCGAGCATGGAAAAATACTGTGCCTTCTAAAAAGAAAGAAAACATATATTACTACTAAAATTCATTGCAAAATGAATTCTAGAGCTTCCAAGGAGAATATCATTTAAAAGAATAAATCTACCAATATTTGAACACAGAAGGGTTCCTAATGGTGACTCGGCAAGTTAGAAGGCACAAGTGTGAGACTCAGTCTCATGGGGGTGGGGGTAAACAGTGGGGTGTTCACTGAGACTGTGTGAGGAAAATGCCAAGAGCAGCTCACTAAACGTGTCGCGTGGCCTGGTTAAATTACTTGTGTAAGAAGATACAGGCCAAGTCTGCTTTGATTGCTAACAAAGCTGCAAACCCACTAAGGCTGAGACTGTGTTGAGACCCTAAAGGCAAGTCATCAAGCTTGACCAGAGAGAACAGGCTGAAACAAGGGCCAAAAAATCAATGGTAGAAACTTCTGGGTCATTTGCAGCTTCTGGGAAAGCCTGTCCTTTCCTCCAGTGCCTTTTCTGTATCTCTCATCTACGGAAGGGGAGTGGGTGGTGGTTTGGGCACTGGGCAGCTTAAGACTCAAGGAGACAACTTTGGGACGCAAACTTCTCAGGCAGAGTAGAGAGCCTGCAGTGGCTATGGGTCTCCAACACTAAACGGGGGCAGACCTCTCTAGCACACCTCTCCTAACCAATAGAAAATGGACGCATTTTAGTTGCTTTAATTGCTTATCAAACCCAGATAGGTGGTGTGGAAGTCCATTCTTTGGTTTTCATTCTTGTCTCGTGTACTACTCGGAGTGTTGTCACAAAGCCTGGCCTCCGGGAATACAGTTTCCCTGTAAAATCTGAGCCCAGGTCTGGGCAAAAGTTCTCTTTTTCTAGGTTCCCCTTGTCATTTTCAGAGGTAGTTTTACCAGATATGTAATCTACTGTGTAGATCACAACAAACTGTGGAAAATTCTGAAAGAGATGGGAATACAAGAACATCTGACCTGCCTCCTGAGAAATCTGTATGCAGATCAAGAAGCAACAGTTAGAATCAGACAAGTATCAACAGGCTGGTTCCAGATCAGGAAAGGAGTACATCAAGGCTCTATACTGTCACCCTGTTCATTTAATGTATATGCAGAATACATCATGCAAAATGCCAGGCTGGATGAAGCACAAGCTGGAATCAAGATTGCAGGGAGAAATATCAATAACCTCAAATATGCAGATGACACTACCCTTATGGCAGAAAGTGAAGACAAACAAAAGAGCCTCTTGATGAAAGTGAAAGAGGAGAGTGAAAAAGCTGGCTTAAAACTCAGCATTCAGAAAACTAAGATCATGGCATCCGGACCCATCACTTCATGGCAAATAGATGGGGAACAATGGAAACTGTGAGAGACTTTATTTTCTTGGACTCCAAAATCACTGCAGATGGTGCCTGCAGCCATGAAATGAAAAGATGCTTGCTCCTTGGAAGAAAAGCTATGACCAATCTAGAGAGCAAATTAAAAAGCAGAGACATTACTTCACCAACAAAGGTCCATCAAGTCAAAGCTATGGTTTTTCCAGTAGTCACATATGGATGTGAGAGTTGGACTATAAAGAAAGCTAAGCACTGAAGAATTGATGCTTTTGAACTGTGGTGTTGGAGAAGACTCTTGAGAGTCCCTTGGACTGCAAGGAGATCCAGCCAGTCCATCCTAAAGGAGATCAGTCCTGGGTGTTCATTGGAAGGACTGATGCTGAAGCTGAAACTCCAATACTTTCGCCACCTGATGCAAAGAACTGACTCATTGGAAAAGACCCTGATGCTGGGAAAGATTGAAGGCAGGAGGAGAAGGGGATGACAGAGGATGAGATGGTTGGAACTCAATGGACATGAGTTTGAGTAAACTCCAGGAGTTGGTGATGGACAGGGAGGCCTGGTGTGCTGCAGTCCATGGGGTCGCAAAGAGTCAGACACGACTGAGCAACTGAACTGAACTGAACTGACCAGAGGATCGTACAAGCACAGAGCTCTAAATAAGGAATGCAAGGGATCATGAAATAGCTGTTTCCATAGGTTTTTGATCATATTATTTCCAACACAAGCAGCAAAGAGCTTTCTGGGTCCACTTCCGTTCCCGAGGGCTACTGCAGCTCTCTAGATGCCTTGCCAGGCTTCCCTTTTCTTCCAGCTTCTCTGCATTCCTCGCTAGCTGCCCATGGCTTATGGCTGCCAGTCTGACTGTGTGTGTGTGTGTGTGTGTGTGTAAGTAACAGAGAGGTAGGGAGAAAGGGAAAGAAGGTAAGAGAGGGGAAGTAAGGGGGAGGGAAGGAGAGAGAACGAGAAAGAGAGAGGGTGGGGAGAGACTGAGCGGATTGCAAAATACTTTATGCAAAAGAAAATCATTTACTAGTTCAAATATCTGAGTCTTCTGTGGTCCTCTTCACTCAACCGTGGATTCTATTCTAGAGGATATATTTTGTGGGAAGTTTTTTCCATGGTCCTGTGAGTGATTAATTTGTACATTCATCCACACTGTGTGCCAGGCACTGTTTCTGTGAGCTGGGGATATGGTGGTGAGCAAGACGTACAAAGACTCTGCTCTTGCAACATATATGCTGGTGGGGATGACAAGTGACAGCCAGGTATACCAAGGAACCTGATAATTTCAGAGTCAGAAGCACTGTGGAAAAAGAAAAAACAAAACAAAACACAACAACAACACAGTGGCGGACGTGAAGAGAGCAAAGAGGAGGAGAGGTGGTCGCCCATTTAAGCTTGGTGGAGAAGACTTCTGACCCGAGACCAGAATGGCAAGAGGGAGCCAGATGCAGGTCTGGGGAGGATGCTGTAGGCAGGGTCCTGGGAGAACAAGGGTGGGGGGTGTGGGAAGGTGAGGTGTGGGTCGCAGGGGGGACGAGCATGTCACAGTCAAGGAACTGAAGAGTCAGTGCCCGGAGCATGGAGGGTGAGGGGAAGGTGGAAGACAATTCAGAGATGGGAAGCCTCCAAGCCATGTGAGGCTTCTCAGGCCACAGTGCAAGGGTTTGATTTTATTTTGAGTACAGTGGAATTAATTTAATTTATTCCCAATACAAGCTGCAGAGTTTCATCAAAGGAGAAATATAACTTGCACTTAATGAGTAACTTTTTTTTTTTTTTTTGTAAAGACTGAATGGATTATGGGGGAGTTGGAATGATGGATTTAACCCTCCCTGATTGCATTTATCAACTCCTCCCACCTCTAGATCATTTTCCTCCCGCACAGTTCAGAGTATAAAACACACCTACTGCTGGTTCACATAAAGTGAGTCATAGTAGTAGGCAACAGTAATATGCAGTTAAGAGTTGAAAGGCAGCCTAATAAAATACTTCAAAGTAGTAGCTGGATTAGAAACAGCACTTTCCTAACAACTGTGCTCTCCACTGATGCCTCTGGTTGTTGACCCTCAGGGCTGGTGTGTGTGCTGGGAAGGTGCCAGGCTGGGGATGTGCTCTCACAGTCTTCCATTTCTGCAGGCCGTCCAGAGGCGACTGTGGACCTACTCTCCAGGCAGGCTTTCCCACTTTGCTTCACTTCTGTGAACAGACACAGTATCCTCCTAGCGACTCCAGCCCAGCCTCTTAGTCACCTTTGATTCTGTGTTTGCTTGTTCACTGACTCCTGATCCAATCAGTTACCAAATCCTCACAGTTATACCTCAGCAAAGTTTTTCCAATCTCTTTTTTTCCCTTTCCATTCCCCTGTTACCAGTCTGGATTTAATGACCTCTTATTTAGCATCCAGAAACTTCCTCCTAACTTAAACTTCATTGCATTCACCCTCTTCTCTTCTATCTTGTACCCTGCTACCAGATGAAAAATTCTAAAGTATCGTTTGTGTCATAGACCTCTTTCTCTGCTCAAACATATCCAATTTTCTTCATAATCTTTCAAATTAAGTAGAAATTCCTCCATGTGGTTTAAAGCCCTCCATTCCCTGGATTGAGCCTTCTTTTCTAGGTTTAATCCATCAACTGTTTTTCTATAAGTATCCCCCATTCTCCCAGGCCCAGGTCAATGGACAATTTTTAAACCTCTTCAAAATCTCACGGTCTGGGCATCTGTGATTCTGAAGTCCAGTCAGAGAAGAGATTGATTACCATTGTGAAGTTTTTGAAGGCAGGGGTCAAACTTTACTCATCTTCAACAAAGATGGATCAATGTACCCTATATTGAAGTGTATACCAGCTTTTAGAGTCTAGAAATAAAATCCTCTAACAGTGGAATGTAATAGCGGTTGGATACTCTATAACCAAAACTGAAAGAGTAGAGTGTTTTTCTTGCTCTCTCCGACAAACTGATGAGGTAGGTACAGGTGACCCAGAGCCCATTAGTAACCAGCTGCTAAGTGCTGAGTATCTTGTAGTTCTAATTAGCTAAAATGCTGTCCTTCTCTAGTACATACAACTTACTTGCATCAGATGATGTTTAGGACAGTGTCAGAACTGAGAATTTTCAGTCAAACTTTAACCATTCAAGCGCTTGCATTCCCAAGATGTAGTGGGCTTGGTTCAAATTTAGATGCAGATAGAAATGTATCAAATATAAGATAGTAAAGACGTGGGAAGAACCCAAGATAAAATTTCATCTAACAGCTCCATTTCACAAGTGAGAAATCTAAAGTCCAGAGCAGCTGTGACAGGCCATGGCTATACAGACACTTTGCTGAAATATAGTTAATATTTATAAATTGATTAAGCATTGCAATAAAACATTTTCAGAAGATATGTCTTATTACTTTCAGATCCAGTTCAATATTTACTTCCTCTAATAAGACTTCCTTGATTAACCTTACCCCACACCGACCACTGCCTTTCTTCATGTTTCAGTATTTTGTGTATGTGGGCTGCCGCAGAGTCGGACACGACTGAAGTGACTTAGCAGCAGCAGCAGCATATACTATATTATCATATACTTACTTTGCTTAACTAGCCACTTCATGTATGAAAATACCTTGTTTTATCTCCTAATCCTTTGAAGGTAATGCCTCAAAACTTTTTATTCCAGAAATCACAGCTGAGGCTTAATAGATATGTGTTGTATAAAAACCTTTCCAGAACAGAATTCACCAGAAACCTGACACTGATTAAATGCTATTAAGACATAATAAAACATAAATCCATAGATGTTTTCTATGGTTTTTGCACTATTTTGATGATGGTTCTTATTTTGAAATAAAGGAAATGGGGGAAAAAAAGAGAAAGGAAATGGAAGCATACGGAAGATCACAGGAATAAAAACTGGTGACTTTACAAAGCAAAGTTCTAGTGGTACTCTGAATACATACGTGAATCAGATGAACCTTTGTATCTACAGCATCATTTTATATTGTTTTGTCAGGTTCTCAAAAGCACAGACCTCTGCAGTGCAGCCAATAGGAAGAGGAGGTGAAGGAAAGACGGTAAAGTAGGCACTGCCCCAGTCACTTAATGATTTGGAATTGTACTAAGCCTATGTACACATTGTAGATATATCTACAGTGTTGAATCCTGTAATCAATGGGTGACTGTTACACATCTTGCCATTTATTTAGATCATCTTTAATGTCTCTTAATGAAGGTTTATCAGTTTCTCCATAGAGGATTTGCATTTCATTTTTCTGGATTCATTCATTTACAATTACACTTTTTATTTTAGATAATTATAGATTCATATGCAGTTGTAAGAAATAACATAAATGGGTCCTGTGTCCTGTATATGATTCCTGTTACAGCAACACCTTATAGAACCGTAGTTTAATGTGACAACTAGGATATTAACATGCTACAGTTAAGCTACAGAACTTTCCATGACCACAAAGATCACTCATGTTTCACTTTATAGCCACATCCACCTTCCTTCCAGCCTTTCCTTAACCTCTGTCAACCACTAATCTGTTTTTCATTTCTAGAATTTGGTCATTTGAAGAATATTATATAAATGAATCATGCAGTACATAATCTCATGGGACTGGCTTTTATCATTCAGCTTAATTCTCTGGAGATTTAGCCAGGTTGTTGTATGAATCAGTAGTTTGTTTCTTTTTATTGCTGAGTAGTGTTCCATGATATGGATGTACCACAGTTTAACCATTCCCATTTCAAAGGATATCTGGGTGGTTTTCAGTTTTTTGGCTATTCTAAATAAAGCTGCTCTAAATAGTTATGTATGAAGTTTTCTGTGACATAATCTTCATTTCTCTGGGATAAATGCCCAAGAATACAACTGCTGTGCTGTATATTACTTGCATGTTTTGTTTTGCAAGAAACCCCCTCACTGTTCTCCATAGTTACCACACAGTTTTACAGTCCTTCCAGCAACGTGTGAGTGATCGAGTTTTCTTTGTATCTTTGCCAGTGATATATTAAAATCAGAGAGTCTGATTCTTCCCACTTTATTCTTCTTCTTCAAAGTTGTTTGGAGTATTCTAGTTCCTTTGCCCTTTTATATAAATTTTAGAATAAAGTTATGTATATCTACTGTACAGTAATGATTTATTTGACCTTACCTCAAAAGGTTTCAGCTGTACCTCTGGAGTATCTGGAGATTAAAGTCAGCAATGCAGGTGGTCAACCATGTCAATATGAGCTGAGTCCCAATAAAAACTCTGGACACCATGGTTCAAGTGAGTTTCCCCAGTCTGCACTATTCTATGTGTATTCTTACACACTGTTGCTGGGAAAAGATAGCCCTAGCCAAGACTCGATTGGAAGAGGACAAATGGAAATTCATCCTTGGAACTTTCCTGGACTCTGCCCTATGTGCTTTTCCCTGGCTCATTTTAATCTACGCCCTTTTACTGTACTAGATTTATAACAGCCTTCAGTGAGCACTCTGCCTGCTTCTGGCACAGGACGAAACCTGAAGATGGCTGAGTGATGCCTACTTGTGGCTGGTATCAGAAGTGACCTCAAAGGGTTGTATCTACAAAAAAGTCTTGCTGGGATTTTGACAAGAATGACGTTAAACTTCTGTTATCAATCTGGGGAGGAAAGACAAGTTTACTGTGTTGAGTGAATTTATGAATATGCTATGTCCCTTAACTTTTTTTTTTAATATGACATGTTTTTGATGCTACCATAAACAGATCTTTAACTGCTTGTTGTTGGTATATAAAAATACAATTGATTTCTATATAATTATTTTGTATCTAGAAAATTTCCTAAACTACCCTTGTCATCCTAAAAATTTATCTGTAGATTAATTTTATTCTCAGTTTTCTCCCCCAAGGCATTTTCTCTCTGAATGTCCTTTTCTTAAAAAAAAAAAAAAATCACATAATGCAACTGCCTTCTACATGAGAAGAATCCTTAAAGGATCCTGAACTTATTTACAAAACACTATCAATACATATAGAATAATATCTCCCATTAAGATAAAAATGCATTGATTTTAAATGAAATATATATTCTCAAATATGTCATGTAAACACACTAAGTTCCTATTATTCCTAGTTTAGAAAATGATGTGGGCATGTATTAGATAGGACTGGTTACTTCAATACCAGATAATATTTTAGAGCATCAGTCTTTAAGTTCCATTAAGGACTGAGTTATGATAAAAACTGAGTAGAAACAGATACAGTTAAATAAGTATTTATAATTATAATCCTTACTGCATCTGTACTAAAACTTATCCTAAAAAGACATTTCAAAATTCTAATTGGACTGTCTATACAGGCTTTTCTGCAACTGTCCAGAAGACTTACAGGGGGAAATCTTTCATTATTGCTCAAGAAATTAAATTTTCCTCTCTGGAATTAAATTTACTTCTGGGTTTGTAAACAGTTGCAGTCCTGGGGTATGAGATATTGCAATGGATGTAAAGTAGATTTTACATGTGTTACCAAATTTGACAAATACATATTGTTCCTACTTCTTTGCTTTGTACCCTGGTTCTAAGCAACATTTTAAAGTTAATTATAGGGTCATAAAGGTCTCTTTTTTTCCCCCAAATATTTTAAAATCATTGTTACAATTATTATGTAGATCTTGTTAAAGTGGCAATAGATGGGAATTACTCACCCAAAGAATCTCAACTGTATCCTTTGGGCGTCACTGAACGTGAATGGCATCTATTATTTTATTTCTCTTCCACAGGGAAAATTTAAAAAGTCACACTGATGGGAAAGCTTGTGAATCCACTGAGAAGGTTAACTAAGGTGGAGGATTAATCTGTACAGTGAGACATGAAGATGTTGGTTACTGACAATAAGATGTCTTCAGTTAGTCAGATTTCAGTGTTTGGGGGCAAAACAATGTATATGTATTAATAGAATCATGAGTTGTTAAAAACTTTCCTACAAAAAATAAAGGAAGACCTGTATCATCAAGACAAAAGTACTTCAAGAATCTCTGATTTAATCTGTACAGTGAAACCTTTAATAATATTATATTAAGTAAAAATATAGTAGTTACTTCTGCTTATCTGTTTAATACTTATTCATATATTTCATTGAAAAAGCATTTAAGATGACATATACACATTATAGTAGGACAAAAGAGAAATAAGTGAAAAACAGTAGAGAAATAGCACAGAGGCAGGGATAGGGTAAGATGAACACATAAGGATGTAACTAATATGTAAACTAATATGTAATTGCCAGATGATGGTCAAAAATTTGACTGAGCTTTTTATTGACAGATACAAAGAGGGCAACAGAGTTGATGATCATTCACTGCCTCGAGGTGGTAAAAGCAAGCCAGTTGTGCAGAACAGCTGTTTTTAACTATGGCATCCTTAACGCAGGCTTATGGCCCACTACTAAAGGGCAAGCTGGGAGAAGTAAAGCCAAGTGGACATCAGTGTAATGACTTTTAGGTGACCTGACAGGTGCTCAGAAGATAAAATGACACACCTCTAACGGAGTGGATGATCTATATATTCTTTACAGAATCATATTTTTTGAAGACAATTGTATTATTATATTATTCAGACAACTACTTTATTTACTTATTTTTTTCAGACAACTACTTTAGAACTGTGGTATTGGATAAGACTCTTGAGAGTCCCTTGGACGGCAAGGAGATCAAACCAGTCTATCCTAAAGGAAATCAGTCCTAATATTCATTGGAAGGACTGATGCCGAAGCTGAAACTCCAATACTTTGGTTACCTGATGCGAAGAGTCAGCTCATTGGAAAAGAACCGGATGCTGGGAAAGATTGAAGGCGGGAAGAGAAGGGGACGACACAGGATGAGATGGTTGGATGGCATCACTGACTCAATGGACATGAGGTTGAGCAAACTCTGGCAGTTGGTGATGGACAGGGAGGCCTGGCGTGCTGCAGTCCATGGGGTCACAAAGAGTCAGACACGACTGAGCGACTGAACTGAACTGATCAAAGAGGAATGACAACAACAAAATTGCCCAAACTGGAAAGCATTTTTCTTCCTGATCGGTAACCAGTATACTGCAGGCAAGAAAGAGTACAAACATTAAATGCATTTTTCTATTTAGTTTTTGTAGGCTTTTCTTTCTCCCTTCATTCCCTCATTAAGTTCATCTTTTAAAGCCAGATAAAAACCTGCTGTAAGATCCAAATTTCCTGGTTATGTTTCTAAAGATGGGCATTAAATACAGAAGTTTTGCACAGTAGTTGTGTCCCCAAATAAAATGATGACCCATGCCACAGTGGCCTGATATGGACACAGTTAATGGAATACAGAAAAAACTATTACTGTCATAGGTTAGCATGATACTTCTACGAAATCTGCATTTTCCTTTTTCATATCCATATTATTATTATTATTTTTGTTAAAACAGCACTTTGAATGTGTTTTGAGTGTGGGAAGATCAGTGTTTGTTCTCAGCTGACAAAAGATGCCAATTTTCCATAAGCCACAAATACAAATGAACTTTAGATGGCCAATCAATAGGTCATTTCCTAAACATCAGGTTTCTGTGCAGGCATTCCAGATCCAGTATTTTTAAAAAGAAGAACATTTTTTTCCCCCCAACACAGCACAATAAGCTTTTTGCAGACTTTCACACAGAAAGCAACATTTTCAATTTTATATAACTCACAACTCTTCCTGACACAAAAGAACAGCCAAAAAGATGAGGGATAGCATGGGTCTCAGTGAAATATGGGAACTGTAAAACTCTTGTTTCTTATCTTTAAAAGTGAAATAGAGAAAATGCTGAGAATCTGGGATGATGCAAGCCTAAGACACTGACATGTAGTACCTAACATAATTATTAGAGAACATGTTTTGAAATTTGGGGAATGATCTTTGCCTGAATTTTAAACTTACATTTTCTATATGTAAGTCAGAACATTACATGTGCTTTATCACTGATGATGTTTCACACTTTATTTCAGAATTGCATTTGACCAAAATATAGCAGTTCAAGATTTATCACCAGAGAGGAAATACCTGATTTAGAAAAGTGAATCTTTTACAAACTAAAATTACAGCTGAAGAAAGCAGTTCCTGTAAGAAGAATTTCATTAGAAAGTGAGTTTCTTAAGAAACTGAGACATAGCTCTGGACTTGACGCTATTTTCTCATGCCACACAGTGCAGAAAACAGTCTCATGGATGGTAAAGTGCATAATTATATATTTTAAAAGAATGTTATGTACTTAAACGTTAGAATAACTGTTATGTTTGTTTTATCCTTTACTCTTTTACTCTGTGTACTTCTGTGTACACCCTCATATATGTATATACACATTATTTTTTCTCAATTATCTGGGTGGGTCACAAATGTCATACCCTTTAGAATATAATTCCTAACAATGAAGAAATTCTCTTATGTAACTACAGTAATCAAATTCAGAAGTGTTTACACTTGTACGATCCTCTTTTATCTTCCCATTTGAATGCTGATTTTGCCAGTTATCCTTATGGCATTTTTACTTTCTAATACAAAATCCAAGCCAGGGACTTCCCTCCTGGTCCAGTGCTTAAAATCCTGCACTTGCCGTACAGGGGGCGCAGGTTCCATCCCTTGTCAGGGAACTAAGATCCCACAATACTGTGTGGCGTGGCCGAAAAAACAAAACGCTAAAAAAAAATTCAATCTAGGATCACATAGGGAAATCTATTACGATTTAGTAATTACTAATCCGTGTTTTCATACATTTTTGTAGATGTTTAAAAGATAACTTTATTTTGTATCTTTTACAAGGTAGTTTTATAAGGTAAAGAAGCTTGCCTGCAATGCGGGAGACCCAGGCTTCATCCCTGGGTGGGGAAGATCCCCTGGAGGAGGGAATGGCAACCCACTCCAGTATTCCGACCTGGAGAATCCCACGGACATGGGAGCCTGGTGGGCTACAGTCCACGGGGTCGCAAAGAGTTGGACATGACTGAGCAACTGACACATTCAAGGCTGAAACTTCGGAATGACAACACTGATTTTAATACTGGGTTCTATGACATTTCTAGTAAAATATCTTAGTAAATAGTAAAACATAAGAAAATGATTAAAATATTCCAATTTAAGCTTACATATCTATCGGTAAATAACAGATACCCATTTGATTGTATTTTTAAAAGAAGTTTGCAATCCAAGGAAAGAAGAAAACTCCTATCTCAATGCCTGCCTTCCTGTCATTTTCTTGTTAGACCTTGGAAGGTAGTCTGAATTATAATTAAAATCAGTCAAGTTCTCAACTTGCTAGAAGCTACAGTAAAAGATTTGATGAAGAGGCGATTGAAATCAGTGACAAAAGTGAAGTTTCTAAAATATTTGAGGCTTATATTTAACTATGATAATTTTCTTCCATACCCATTAGAGAATGTAGAATTAACTGCATACATTGTTGCTGATGGCTTAGAAATAGTTTACACAGCTGAACTGAGGGACTTAAAATTTAAAATCTATTTCTGACTAGTCTATCAATATGCATGAAATTCTGGATAAGCTGTTTAACTTTGATTTGTCTCAATTTATCTATTCCTAAAAGCAGAAAGAGTATTGTTTACTGTATAGATATACTACTAGGATTTTATTAGACAGTTAACCTAGTGAAGTCATAATATTAAATGAATTGAAGAAGCACAAATATTATTATAAACAGGAATCATAAACAAGAAATTTGCTTAGGACAACAAAGAAAGAATATAGCGTTCAACCTATGATTGCTACAGAGAAAAAGAAGAAAACAGATAAGAAAAAGGAAAAAAATTAAAATCATTAATAATTCCACCATTCAGAAATAACCTGAAATCTATTTTTTCAGATACTGTTTTCCCTATGCAAAACATACTTGTTTACAAAAATGCAATACTTTAATAAGAGATACACTAACCACAGGTTGATGCAATTACATTTAAACATACTATACTGAAAATTCTTGTTCTGATAATCAGGTAACCCTTCCACTGGTAGCAATAATCAACTCTGGACAAAACATAACATACAAGTATTTGACAGCTCTGGAAAGCAACCAGAAGCAGGTATAAACTAGAGGAGATTAAACCCTTCAAAGCAGAGATCTGCGCTGGGTGGCTCTTAACTTGAGAGAATTCTCCTTTCTACATGGTGCCAGGTGGCTAGAATCCAAGCAAAAGACTGTAATTATTAGCTCAAAGCGTCAGAAGATGGAATTCTAGGATGCCAGAACAGCTGGAAACTAGGAAGGAAAATTCCTGAAAAATGTAGCCAACCACAGAGGGGGAAAGTTCCAAATACGTGTAAATTCCTTTCAAGTTTTTAGATGAATTTTGAACTATGTTTGCATGAAGAAGACTCCAAGGAATTAGAAGAAGGCTATGGATGGAAAGCTGAAACAGTTGAGTAGAGATTTAAGCAGCTGTCCACCACGGGAGAGACAGTTTTGAGTTTGAATCCTATCAAATTATAGAGGCTGGATAAATGCTGTGGACTTTTCCATTGAAACTCATTTACCTTACCCATTTACCTTAGGAGTAAAGGTGATGTCCCACCTTTGGGTGTTTTTTGTTTGTTTGTTTTTTAGTTTTAGTCCCTCAGTCCTGTCTGATTCTTTGTGATTCCATGGACTTTAGCCTGCCAGGCTCCTCTGTCCATGGAATTCTCCAGGCAAGAATACTGGAGTGGGTAGCCATGCCCTTCTAAAGGGGATTGTCCAGACCCAGGGATTGAATCCAGGTCTCTTGCATTGCAGGCAGATTCTTTACCATCTGAGCCACAAGGGAAGCCCATATGAAATTTGGAACAGGTTAAAAAAAATCTACGGAAATATAAATTAAAATGGGCATCGCAATGCAGGAGACACAAGAGACATGGGTTTGATCCCTGGGCTGGGAAGACCCCCTGGAGTAGGAAATGGCACTGCACTCCGGTATTCTTACCTGAAAAACCCCTTGGAGAGAGCAGCCTGATGGGCTACAGGAAATGGAG